CACACACACACACACACACACACACACACACACACACACACACACACAGAGTAGCACACACACACACACACACACGCACACACAAACACACATCTTTTTTTTGTCGTTTATAGCGAACATGACAACGCACAACACGGCCTTGCTAAGCTCTCCGCTCACGTGGATCGATGCAGCTAGCGTCGGGACAGTACGAATGGTCATTCGAGTGGATATCCGTGGCTGATCGCGTGTGTAGAGTGGGATATATGGCTGTAAAAGACAAGTTTCTCAGTCTCACTGCCGTTCTTATCGGGGTTTGCACCGACAGTCTGGAAAGATTGCACGGTTGGTGTGAGTAAAGTCGATCTCTCAAGGGTATCGCTAACTCTGGGCGATCCCCATCGCCTCAAGCAACCCCGCATTTTTTGCCTCCTGTGCATTCCGTTTTTTCCCGCTTTCTTGGCGCCTGCCCATGGGTGTCGTTGCTCGTGTTTATGTCCAGTCCAGGAATCAAACACACAAACACAACCTACGGCTTGCCAGCCAGATGCCGCCGAACCAATAGGCTAAGTGTTGGGTGTCGTTGCCGTGTGAATGCGCAGTCCAAGAATCGAACACACAAACTACGGCTTGCCAGCCAGATGCCTAACCAATACGCTTAAGTGTTCATCGTGGATTCCAGTCTACTCTCCTTCCTCCGTCGATCGACTGCCGAAGTGCCGAACGCCGATCAAGCGCGGGTGACGAGTTGGCACACTGTGCATTGTCGTGACCTTTACAGATCACTTCATCTCCATCAATCGACCAGCCAATTCATCGGCCCACCGATCCGCGAATGCACTGAAGCGGCTGGCTCTCCCTCTCCGCACTGGTGCTGTCACTGCTGTGGACTCGAACCCTTGGTCTACAACACTACAGTCGTTTTCTGTCAGTCTATTGACCGATCAAATCGAATCAAATCAGAGCGATCGCACTGATTGGTTGAGTGCTTGGTATTAGATCATTGTTTGGTGGGGCGGTACGTTGGAGGAGAGCAAATGGAACAGGGAGGGGAATAGAAGGTAGATCGCTACATTGATTGGTTGAGTGTTTGGTACTGGTCCATTGCTTTGTCGGGCGGTACGTTGGATGATCGTGCCCTCACACGGCAAGTGAATATCAGAGAGGCGGCGAAGGCGGACGGTGGACTCTGTGAAGGCTGCCCTTAGTGTTGGGACACGCGACGTGGATGATGCCAACCCTTCTGCAAGGAAGGAACAATACGCTCTTTGTGAAGACATCATGTGACGAAACAATCACCGTGAGTTATCTGAAGACCGCGATTCACGAAAAAGAAGCCGTTCCCACGAACTGCCAGCATCTCATATTTCCTGGGAAGCACCTCGAGGACGAAGAAGACACACTGGCAAACTTGAAGATCCAGCAACACTCGACTCTTTCATCTTCTGCTTCGACTAAGGGAAGAGACGATGATCAAGGTCAAGACACTCGCGGAGAGAGCGAGAGAGAGGGAGGGAGAGAGAGAGAGAGAGAGAGAGAGAGAGAGAGAGAGAGAGAGAGAGATCCAGCCAACTGAACGAATCAAAGAGACAGTAGAGCAGAAAGAGGGGATTCCGCCGGTCCAGAAAAAGGCTCATCACCAACTGGCCTAGCTCAGTTGGTACAGCCTTGAACTGTTGAAATACAGACCTGAGTTCGAGCTCGAAATGAGTAAAATACTCCAATTCTGGATTACCTACCGCCGATCAGTTCGACGATGATATCTCAAGGCCGTCATCCTTTTCATATATTAAAAAAAAAAAAAAAAAACCCATAGAGAAGGCTCATCTTTGCGGGGAAACAGGTCAATGATTAGAAGATCGCACGAGACTTTGAACATTGAGGCAGGATCGGTTCTTAACCTGACACCTGGTGCTTGCCCTTCGTGGGGAATGTGATGTACTGACTGGGGCTTGCCTCTTCGCTTTCCCAGTGTCTTTTTTTCTCTTGGTTTTCTACTATCTTTATAGATGGTAGTAAGTGCAGACATTTGTGAAGTTTTTCCATGCGCATTGGCAGCAAGCAGCCTGGTAATTGTAAAATGGCAGTTCAGTGAAGCTGCTTCTTCAAGTTCAAAATAATAAAAATAATAATAATAATAATATTATATTATTATTATTATTATTATTATTATTATTATTAAAATTAAAAAAACACTCTGGCCGACGTGGTGTGATCCTTATTCATCAGTCAAATGCATTCGGGGCGGAATGTCGGGTCCTACGTGATGAGTCGGTGAAAGTCCGATCAAGCAGTCTGTTCGGCACGGTCGTGCTTTTTTTGTCTGTTGTGGAGAGCGAACATGACAACACACACACACACACACACACACACACACACACACACACACACACGTTCAACATACAGGGCCTTGCCGCTTTTCTCACCGAATGTGCATTCATCCACGACTGGTCGTGATTGCTGACCAATTCTGACCGACATATAGGGCTTTCCACGCACATCCACACATTCATCCGCTTTTCACCGACATACTGGGGAGAAAGGGCATACTCACAGTGGGGCTATTTCTCCAAAGCTCTGGACGCGATTCCTGATAGACTCATCAAGGCCTGGTCGTAATTGCAGTCAGATGCATTCTTGAAAGTGCTAGTGTGAGTATGCGCAAAGACGAGAAGTGAAAGAAGAGCTCACCTCTCCTTCAAGGCGCCGTCACTTCTTACACGCCCCCACGTCTGGTCTGCCCAGCACCTTGTGGGGACGTCCGCACGTCCGCGTCACGTGGCGGTCTGGGATGTCCCAAGTCCGCCTCACGTGGCAGTGTGAGATGTCCAGGCCCTCGTCACACGGCGGTGTGAGTAAGGGCCAGATCCCACTAGCCCCTATTGTTCATTTCTGACCGTTGATCTTCGTAATCGAGGGTGAAAAATGAGTAATCCAGGGTGGTGGGATCTGACCCTAAGTCTGTCACGTACAGGTGCCGTGTCGGCGGACAGCTCTGGGACCGCGCTGTGTCCGGCTGGGGAGCTTAGTGTGCGACACGTCAAGAGACGTTTACTTGGACGCATTGCAGCAAGGCCTGGCCCACGCATTGTACGACAGGCGAAACGGTGAGGGACGCATTTCAGCATCGACGTGGCCACGGACTGTGCGACAGGCAAAGGGTCGAGGGGCTACGGGTAAACTGCTACCCGGTAGCGCATTCGGTAAGGGACATGAGTTGCATTTAGCAGGTCGTGGGTTCAATCTCATCGGCCGTCACGTTCGTGCCTGGACATGCTTGGTGTCCTACCATCCAGAGATAGCCCGTTGGGCCCCCAGGCCAGCATTCAAGTTGGCAGGACCTTGGCCAGTATTGTCGGGTCCTACGTGACAATGATATTGGCTATTAGGCTGGGACCCCACTGGCTGGCGGTAGCTGGCCGCCAGCCTTTGGAAGAAATGTTTTGAGACCCCACTGCTGGCGGCAAACCCAAGCACTTTTGTTTCCACTCTGCCTACCTCCGCTTTTATAGCACACCAACCAATCCCCGTGCCTCCTTTCCGCACGGGATGGCTGGTACGCACGCCAACATCTAGAGCCCGCCAGCATACCAGCCATCCCGTGCGGAAAGGAGGCATGGGGATTGGTTGGTGTGCTGAAAAAGCGGAGGCAAACTTGCCCGAAAAGGCAAGTCTTCCTTATCGGGTAACAGACACCTTGGGAAGTGCCGAAAATTGCTGTGGCAGTGGGGTCCCATTTCGCTTGCCCACTCCCGTCGGCTACGATTTGTGCTGGCGGATGCTTTCCTGGCCGCCAGCTACCGCCAGCCAGTGGGGTCCCAGCCTTAGACACCGGTGATGCGGGGCTGGGTGGGGGAAGGGGGAAATGCAGCGACTGGCTATAGTGCTCGGCACAAGCACTGCTGGTTTCCCCCATCGGCAATGCCTGCCCACCACCGCGATGAGGGGCTGGTACAGCCTTGCTCTCGCACCACCTCTGTGGTGCAAACCTACCCATTGGGCTGGGGAGAGATGGTTGGTGTTCCCCCGTAATATTCATCGAGTAGTGAGAGGATGAGATAGATGAGGATAAGAGAGAGAGAGAGAGAGAAAAGAATATAATTAAAAAGAAAAGAAAAAAAAATTGTTAGTCGATTGACTAGCCAAGCACGTACAGTACAACCATGAACTGTCAAAATGCGGACCGAAGCTCGAATCCAAAGCCCGATCATTCGAAGATGGCATACCATCGTGGGACATGGCCCCCGTTGCCAACAATTTCTCACTGAAAGGAAACAACCCCTCCGAAAACAGCTCGGGGATAGAGTCTCACTCGCTTGGATTCTGTTGTGTGATTTTTTGACTGTTGATCTTTCTTAGCTACAGTCTGGAATGAAGAATCAAGACAAGTGGAACCTTGCCCCAGCCAATGCATGCAGTCTCCCAGCCATAAAATGGTGAACTTCGGGAGCACGGTTCTACCAACACACTAGTCCTAGCCTAATAAAACCCATCTGACGCCTTTGCAATAACAGACAAAACAGAATATTCGTGAAAACCTAACAAAACAAATTGTTRGGTTTGCACGAATATTTTTTAAGTTTTACAAATGCTGATTTTTGGGCCTCTCTAAGAGACCAAATTTCGGGAGCAGTGGGATGACCGAGAAAAAGACGAAAAAAAAATGGTTCGGAAGGACCAATTGGAAAAGCGTAAAAAAAACAATGTTTTTCGACTGTAAATCACGATCAGGTGTTGCTCACAAGCTTGAGAGCTCAAAAATCTAATACTTTTCGCAAGCAATTGGTGCCTACTCCAGAAAGGGCCAACTTTGCAGCTCTCGCCTAGGTCGTTAGTTCACATTTGTTGTCCTGTAGTTGCATTTTCGCAAAAGTGTGTTTTTTTGTTTAACTGAACGCAAAACAACCTCGGGCCTAAAACGAGGTGCGGCTCTCAACAGCATGCCAGGATAGACTTATAGTTCTATAAATACATTTGTTTAGAGAACCGGTTTCGAAGGCCATCCACAAGCTCGTTTCACTCTCTTTAAGTTCGTGTTTGTCGAGCCCGACTTTTATGTTGTGTGAAAACCTCTTTATAGTCCTATAAGTGTGAACCCGGAAAAAAGTCAGGACTTCTTCAGTTGAAGTTCAAATTTATAGTCCTATAAATGTCTCTACCACGAATCCGAAAAAGAGTCAGGACTTCTTCAGTTGAAGTTACAATTTATAGTCCTATAAATTTTTCGTCCACGAATCCGACAAAGAGCTACAAATTTTTCAGTTGAAGTTCAAATTTATAGTCTTATAAATATCGTTTTTCCGAATCCGAAATATAGGCCAGACTTCTTCAGTTGGAGTTAAGATTTATAGTTCTATAAATGTCTCTTCAACGGATCTGAAAAATTGGCCAGACTTCTTCAGTTGGAGTTAAGATTTATAGTTCTATAAATGTCTCTTCACCGGATCCGAGAAATGGACCACACTTTTTCAGTTGAAGTTAAGATTTGTAGTCCTATAATTTTATCTTCATCGAATCCGAAAAATGGGCCAAAATTCTTCAGTTGAAGTTAAAAATTTTAATAATGTAAATTTATCTTCATCAAATCCGAACAATCGNGGATTCGAAAAATGGGCCAAAATTCTTCAGTTGAAGTTAAAATTTAAAATCCTGTAAATTTATCTTCATCAAATCCGAACAATCGGAAGAAGAGAGAGAGAGAGAGAGAGAGAGAGAGAGAGAGAGAGAGAGAGAGAGAGAGAGACTTATAGTACTATTCTGCTAGCAGGTTGACCTCTGCGTTTCTTTTGGTGGCCCTAAAAATTAGAAGCTCGTGTGTCTGAGAGAGAGAGAGAGAGAGAGAGAGAGAGAGAGAGAGACTTAGACTACGTTACCACTCACAAATCTTCTTGTGTGTGTGTGTGTGTGTGTGTGTGTGTGTGTGTGTGTGTGTGTAAAGTACAATTTTGTTCGGTTTTCACGAACAGAAGATTTTGTTTGGTTTTCATGAAAAGAACAGTCCTGAAAACCTAACAAAAATAATTGTTCGTTTTTGTAAAATCATTTTGCTAACTTTTGAAAATTGGTTCACTAGAAACAAACACGAAAGTTTAACCCATTGACAATATAGAAACGAGAAGGTTGGATTTCCACCCACTACTATCGAATCCACCCTCCGTCAAATGCTTTTTCGCTTTCTCTGTTTCTTAAGCACAAGTGTACTAGGCAAATGACAGAGTAGCATTAAGAACCACGTGAGGTAGCGTGGACCTTCAAATAGGTCGGAGTGAGTGACGACCACGATGTTTAGGCGGGAAATTTTGGCTCCGCTAGATGCAGCGCGCGCAAGAGAGAGGAGGAAGGGCAACGGACCTCGTTCCACACCACTTACTTCGCTTCAAACTCGAGTGTGCACTCAAGTTCCGACCGACATGAAAAAAATACCTCAACCACGTTTCGTTCCACTCAACTCTCCAGTCCCCCTTGAAATGAGCGGGAATGGTGCTGCAACAACTCGCCAGAGGTTCAACCAGACAACCGCGGTAGAAAATGGATAAAAGAAAGGGGAAAAGACAAAACAAGAATCGGGCGTTCTACATGTACATGCACCACCGTTTTCAAGTGCAGCTCAAGTGTGCCCGGAGAGGTGACTTGGAAAACGGGTAGGTTACCCAAGAGCCTTGCTCAGTGGGTACACCCAGGAACTGTTGAAATACAGACCCAAGTTCGAACCAGATGAAGGTACCTGAAGAGTAAAACCAAATATTTCTAAGTTGCTTGGGCCCGGTCAGCTCAATGATGATATCTCCAGGACCGTCGCCTTTTTAGGAAAAAAAAGAAGAAAAAAAGGTTAGGTTTGGCTCGACTGCACTTGAGCCGCCTTTGAGCTTTTCCCGCCTGTTGCTAAACCCCAAAACCTGGTCACGGCAGGGTCGTGATTTATGAAACTCGAGGGCACCATCGAACGGTGTTGGGCAAGAAACCCTCGAGATTCGGGTGGGCCTCGTTCCGGACCACTTCCCTTGAGTAGGGAAGTTCTTTAGAGCCACAAGACTTAGCATATTTCACGGGCCCGGGAAGAGCGCACATGCAATCGCGCAAAAGCAATGATCGTGCAAGAGGAGGAAGCCACCGACGAAAGCGCGCACGAGAGAGAGAGAGAGAGGACGCCACAACCGAGATCGAGCAAGCGCAGCGAAAAGGAAGGCGGGGCAGAGAGAGAGAGAGAGAGAGAGAGAGAGAGAGAGAGAGAGAGAGAGAGAGAGAGAGAGAGAGAGAGAGGAGAAAGAAAGGGAGAGAGGGGGGGGAGGAGAAAGCCACAACCAAGATCGACCGCGCGCGGCGAACGGGAATGAGGGGGAGAGAGAGAGAGAGAGAGGAAGCCACGACCAAGATCGCGAGCGCGCGCGAGATAGAGAGAGCGACTAAAATCGCTGCAGGTGGTCCCCCACCTCATTCCCC